TTAAAAACCTTTTTCTATTGAAGCATCCCTCTGGTTTAATCACGGATCACCTCGGTATACAGACTCAGGAGTCATTATGCCAGGAGTGGTTAAATGGGTAGCACAGAATGCTGTCCTATATGTCATGTTTGGGTTGTGGTGTTTTGCTTTGGTGGTGTGGTTTTGGTTTGGTTTTGTTTTTAAACTTAATGGTAGCGTTAAGTTGTTTTCACGTTTTCTGAGCTGTTGCTGGCTAGTAGCAGGTGTTTCAGAAAGCCAGTGGAAGTGCAGTACGTGGTGCAGAGCATTGAGTGCGTGGTGGCCACAGCAGAATGAAATTAAACCGTGGCTGTTGCTGGGTGGAATGAGCTGATGAAAACCATAGCTGGTCGAGTGGGATGCTGCAGGTACCACCTCCCTCACCCCTGTCTCAGGCATGTCAGTCAGTATGAAAATTGTGCAATTCCTGCATAGCATGTTTCTTGCTGAACTTTGGTAGTCAAAAGGAAAACACAGAAGAAGCAGTATCGCAGCTTCTAAGATTCCCCCTTGTCCACGTGATCCCTGACCTTGAAGGTCAACCTTATGCATGCAGCATGTGTAGTTGCTTTCAGAAGCCTGGCTTGCTAGCAAAGAGCTTCGCTTATTTGATTGGGAAAGAACTGGCTTGGATTCACGTCAAGAGTAGGACAAGGGTAGGACAGTGCAGCAGGTGCTATGCAGAATTCTGCAAATGCCTTTTGCTGTTGACTCCAAACTCTGGAGAGTTTTGCTGCGAGTTCCCAGCTCGAATCCTGTGCGGCTCTGGCAGTTCCATAACAGCAGTTGGCGTTGCAAGCCCTGAACCCCAGCAGTTGGCGTTGCAAGCCCTGAACCCCAGCAGTTCCATAACAGCAGTTGGCGTTGCAAGCCCTGAAGCCCAGCAGTTGGCGTTGCAAGCCCTGAAGCCCAGCAGTTGGCGTTGCAAGCCCTGAAGCCCAGCAGTTCAATAACAGCAGTTGGCGTTGCAAGCCCTGAAGCCCAGCAGTTGGCATTGCAAGCCCTGAAGCCCAGTTAGCCGCAAAGCTGATGCGGTGTCCTTCATTGCAGCTCCAACTCTTGTGGCGGTTCTTTCGTTGCCACGTTTCGGTCCTTCATGGCGTTGCGGTGCTTTGGTATTTTCATGGGCAAATGCCACCGGTTGTGCCAGCTCCTGGTGCACAGTGTGGGCAAGGAGGCCGGTGATAAACGGAGAGGGTTAAACTTGTTTCTGTACTGGAAACCGTGCAGGAGCTGTTGTTGCCAGCTTTCCTTCCTCTCTTTCCTTCTTTCTAAAGCTGATAAATTAAAGCTCTGCAGCACCCTGTGCTGTCTCCTGTTCCTTTCTCATCCTCACCTCTGAACTGCTTTCTCTCAGCGGTGCTGCTTTTGGCCTTGAACCTCCAGCCTCCCCCGTTGCTCTAGAATTGAAAGGACAGCGCTGCACTGAACCCAGCGCCCTCGCTCTTCTCTCCGGGCTGCTGGGAACAAGCGTCCCTCGGATTAGCGTGTGCTTGTTTTGCCCCGCTCTGCTACAGAAGCTTCTTGCCTTTTTGATATTCAGTCGCAGGCTTCCATCTCCTTTCTGACCAGCCCCTGTTTACTTTGCAGAATATAACGTTGTCATGGCAACAGGTTACTTTTCAAAGGGAACATCTTGTCATTATATTTAATCCACTGCAGCTGAAGAGGACTGAAATATTAAGTTGTTGTTGCTATGGATACTGCTTTGTTACATCGGTTTCTTTTGTGTCAGATTTCATATACAGTGTTGCGTCCTCTTTTTTTCTTTCCCCTAGAATAAACACAGAGTGCCATTCCTTTATTATTGTAATTGCTCTCCACCAATATAATTTAGCTTAAAAATCTACGGTGCGTTTTAGTTTCCATAGCAAGAATTTTCTTTCCATTTGCAAACCCGTTCCTGGGGATGTGGAAACAGTAAAAATTATTTAACAGATTGTGTGCCCTTGCAGACCGACCAGCTTTGTGCCCTTTTGAAAAAAAAAAAAAAAAAAAAAAGTGTAATGTAGTGCAGTCTGAAAGAGCTTCCCGCACAGCAACTTAAAATTCAGTCCAGTCCTTACCTTTTGGGGCAGGGGGAGGGAGTATCTTTAGCTGGTGAATATAGTCAGGAAATGGTAAATGAGTGTTGAAAAGGCACACAGAAATTTTTCTCTTGACACTTCATTTTCATGTGAGGAATCATGCTTGGATAGCCCCATTGAGTTTCCCCAGCTAACTCCACATGAGCAGTCAGGAGCAGAAGTCCCATCCAAAACTTTGCTTTTATTTCCAGCATCCTGTAATGAGTCTTGATTCTTAAACGCTTTATCATATTCAGTGCGACGCAACTGAAGAAATTGGGAGTTGGGGGATATTTGGAGTGCTGTGGGTTTTTTCCTGTCAAAATGGAAAAAAAGCTTAATTTTCTGTTTAAACACAAAATCTACTTGTGCGGCCTTTGGCTGGTGTGAAGTATTGCAGCTGGCAGAAACTGCATAGACATGTTCTATGTTTGACTTGCACTGACTCGTAGAGATGTGCATGGCTTTAAAATGAATTCTGGGAACAGAGGAAGAGCATCAGCATTTTCTGCTGTCGGTTTCTCCTTCACTCCTCACAGGGAAAAATTCTGACACATTGCAGCTGAAGAAAAGTACCCTAGTATTTAATTTGTAACTTTGTTGTAAATATAAAATTGATTTTTTCTAGTTCAGTCGTTTCTTTGCATAACCTGAAAACAAGAGAACAGTGTCAGCTCATGTCTTGCAAAAATACGCATTGGAGAAAAACATTTTGACGTGCTCTCTTCTTTTCAGGAGACTTTTGGCACGTATTTTAGAGTGGATCTACTTACCGGGAAGGTAGCATTGTGTAGATATCACGACATACAAAACCTGCGTTTGTTCCTGCCTGGCAGGTTCTCCTGCCATGTCTTGGACAAGGTCCGTTCAGACCCACTGCTGTAGTTTGCCCACTTGTGCACCAACGAGTAACACTCGGAACGGTCAGTAAGGTGAAGTTTAACTTCATACAGGCATGCAACCTACTCTGAAATTTTGAGGTGAAAATGTTCATAAAGATACGCAAATGATCGTGTCGGACCCCTCCGGTAACCTTTTTGATTTCAAAGGGCATTTAATGGTTTGGGGTATCCGTCGTTAGTTCCACTCAGGGCTAGCAGTTTGTGCCTGTGAGCTTAATTTTTAAAGTTTAAAGGAAACTTTCTCAGTCATTTCTTATGACCACTGTGAACATAGCAGGGCGAATAAGAAATCCTGCAGGGCAGCAGCTTACTTGTAAAATGATGCCATTATTCCTGTAACAGCAAATTGCAAGATTAATTGAAGTTTGCCGTTTCCAGATGAACGATGGCGATCTGTGAGGTTTATGCTTGTGTTCTTCCTTGCTAGTGTGTTGAGACTCACTTAAATGTCTTGCAGTTATTGAAGTGTTGAATTCAAAAGTTTGTCTTAAAACAGCTCTGAATTTTGTCGTCCTTTTAATGTAATATGCAGAATATTAAAAAAAGATGTCTGTTTAAATAAGAACAATTTATAGGAGAAGAAGAATGTTGATCTTGAGGGTATTGAATTTCCTTGGCTTTGGTTGTGTTCTTTAATGCTGTTTTGCAGGAGTGTTGGAGGGTCATTTATGTTTTCAAACTGTAGCTGCATTCAGTATCCCAAACACCAATGCTCAGGCACAAGTGCCTTTATAGACTGTATTGATCTGGCTCTTGAAAAGAGCTGGATATGTGAGATTACAGCAGAGAGGTCCCATGGACTCAACTGTAGTCCTTGAGAAATTACTATTTCCCGTAAAAAGTTTTGTTCGTGTGCCTTCTCATTGCTTATATTGTAATATAATTAATAAAGAAAAAGGGTCAAAGGGCACTCTTCAGTGGTAAAGTTTTATTTACCCTGTTAGTCTGTTCAAAATTTCAGAAGAAAAATAATTTCTGTCATGTCAGATGTGTTATTCTGATTTATATTGGCATACCTTTAACTTCTGTTGTTGCCAGGGTAATTCTACTACAACATGAAAAAATAGTTTTTCTTCTACCATATAATGTGATGTTTCAGTAGCTCCAACCAATGGTGTGAGCAGCACAGAGCCCTTCAGAGTATAATTCTCACTACATGGAGCACAGGTCATTTGGAACTTGAAGTTTTTTATATAAATATCTTTTCAAAATAGTGGAAAAATATGAGGGCCAAGTGTATTTATCTAGAAGGGAAGCCCTTTTTGGATGAATTGAATGCAATTCACTTATACAAATGTTACAAGGAAAAAAAAAAAGGAATTAGTTTTGCCAATTCTGGTAATGCAAGGCTCTGATCTTCAATGATTAATAACCCAAATATTTAAGATATTTTGTCTTTTGAAATGAAAATGACCACAAAGATGTCCATGAGGAATGTGGTATTTCCTGTCTGTTAATCTGTAGCATAGTGCTTAGCATGTTGCCTGCATTATTTTAGGTTTGGTGTTGAAATAAGCAGTTAAAGGAACATAGCACTAGTGCAAGTCAGATGCTTGTTGGAAGGTGATTCTTTGTATAGCAGGCTTTTGAGTTGGCTGGCTAAAGCATAGAGCAGTTCAGAGCTGTAGAGAACTGTAGAAGTTTTAAAGGATCGTGGTTAGAAGTCAGTGCTGCTTCTGTATTGCATGAAATCTAAACATCAAAAAGTAGACGATGGGTTTCCCATTATCAGATGCCCAGTGTTTCTTGCTACTGTGAGGACAGGTCACGGTGATCCTCTTCTTGACTTCAACTGCTTGACTAAAAGTTCCAGACTTGCCCTGTTGGTTTTTGCCATTTGCAGTGTGGCCCGTAACACACCTGAGTATATCCTTTCTTGTTTTCTTAGTAATGCATTATTTTCGCTTCTCTTGCGTTTGCATCGGAAATGCAATGACAAAAAAATACAGAATATGATGTTAAACTTCATCAGTTGTAATTCTTTCTCGTTACTGTTTTTTTTGTTATATATTAGGAGGCTGAACAGCACCCAAGGTGAAATCAGAGTTGGACCCAGCCATCAGGTAAGGGATTGTGTTTGTATTCTAATATCCAGAGGGTGAGCTTTTGCCACTTGATCTGGTCAGAGGACACTCATTTAAAATTGTATGCATTCAAATAAAATGAGCTTTTTAGATTCATCATGAGTTCTTTAGAATTCCTTAGCTCAGTTAATGAGATTTTTCTGTGTCAAATGTTGATATGTTAATGATTTTTACTGGCAGAAGTGCTGTTGGGTTAATTCTAGAATAAGTTTGAAGGAATATGAGTAGGTACTGGAAATGAAGGAAAAATCTCAGCTATTTGGCATATTCTGGGGTTAAAAATGAATGCATTCTCAGCTGGCTTTCACCAAGCAATGTTTTTAATAAACTGTAAAAAATTGATTTGGTGGTGTTTTCCAGTTATATTGAAAGTAGATCTTTTAATTCTAATTTGCATAGTAAAATTGTCAAGTTGATAGTATGTTGCCTATAACTGGTAGTCCTTTTTGTGAATCTATATATGTAAACAAAATGGAGTTCAATTAGAAGTGATTAAAGATAGCTGTTTTCCAAGAACAACATTACAAAATTAGAAGGATGGGGGAACTTTAAACCTGAGAAAGGTTTGTTTCCTGTACAGCAAGTGCTGAGATACACATATATATTATGTATGTGCTCAGCTTTTAAGGCAGGGTACGGTGCTTTTGGGCATGTCTGTAATGTAGCTGTCAGTGCAGACTGCGCTGTAAATCTGCTCTCCCTTTTACGTTTGTCTCTGAGCGTGCTCTGCCTGGTGTCACGTCTGTGGCTTTGCCTCGCCTCAGTGACTTGGGTTTACACTTGAAGTCTGCACATGTTCTCTTATTTTTATATGTTAAATGAGCTTGGCCAACCGTGGTGCTTCAGCATAAAAGTCAGGGGGGCCATTGTGTATTTAATAATTCAACAGTTGTCTTAAAAATGAACTTAGTATTAATAATTGGAGCAGTTCTGGCAGCTGCTAGGGATAGACCTCTTTCTAAATACCCTCCTCCTGTGTTGCCATGTGCCAGCATCACCAACACGCTCTCCCCCTGCCATTCAAGAGGTTAGCTGGTCCTCACCCTTTTGCCTGCATAATTATAATACAAAGCAGTTTAAATTGTTTTTAACTGGGAGGCACGGTAATTCTGGGTGATTAGTGAAACATCCCTTTTGTCTGTAGTCTACAGAAGTCATGCTATAATTATGGTATCTTATTTGTGTTTCCCAGGAAGTTTTTCATGCAGGCTTTTTCGCTTTCTGATGCCGTAGAGAGGATAAGTTTTGATTTTAAAGATAGGGAGACCTCAGTTGTGTTGTTTGTTTGACTGTGAGAAGCAGTAAGAACTGCAGGTTCTTAAGAGCAGTGCCTGAAGTCATTTGGCTGTTAAAATAGAAATTGAGAAAGCATGCTGAATGTGTTCAAACACTGGGAAGCAGAATAAGGTTAAGACTCTAGATGTTAGTTTGTTCCTGGTATGTTAGTTCTGTTAGTTTGTTTCTGGTATGTTAGTTCTAATTTGAGGGAAATCCTTCCTAAGCATTGAAAATAATCTGCTCTTACAAGAGCGTTAACGTACAACTTACTCTGGCTTATAAGGCCAGATCTGCCACTAGGAACTGAGGGCTCTCCTTCACCTGTGGAATTGACTTTGTACTGTACAAGTGCTGGATTTTTGCATCCAAGTGATGAATATTCATCCAGCCTCTTTTTTAAAATCTTGTTTACCTAGTGAAAGTAAACATTTATGGAACCTACGTATCATTCTTAAGGATGTTTTGCATTTAGAGGGAAAACGTCCTTGGCAACTAAACTTGTAGTATTCTTTTCACTAGTCATAGTAAGAGTGCTGTAAGTGATACCTTCCAAACAACTTTCTTCTCAAATTGCCATCTAATATTTTGGCAGGTATTAGTCACCTGTGCTGTAAGGTATAATTTCCAGAGGCATTTATGGATGGAAAAGAAGTAGGAAGAAGGTCCACTGATTTAGAATACTGTTAATTTTTTCTTGCTCGGTATTTTAAACTTCCGTTGTTCCTTCACTCATTTACTGAGCATCTATGTTTCTGACAAATGTCATTGCTAAGAGGATATATTCTCATCCTGTTAATTAGTGTAAGGTATAATCTTAAGATGCATGAATGGTTGATTGTAGGCCGCAGTAGGAAGTCAGACTGAAGATGATATTTGCTGCTTTCCGTTCTGTAGTCTGATTCATTCTGTAGAAAGTGTAAAAATAGTCTCCTCTGCACACTGGGCTTTGTTAACTCAGGGAATGGATACGCTTTCCTCCACCCACCTTATTGAGGATAAGGTCTATGTAGCAGAATCCAGAAACCTGAGATCCCAATAGTGGTTTCTGATGAATATCTGTTGCCTTCATTTTCCTTAAATTGTGCGTGTTAGAGAAGCTAGAAGACTGTTGGGGTTTTTATGATACTTAGTGCACAGATACCTCAAGCTACTGCTTGTATCATAATAGCAAGTAGGGACAGAAGTGAAGATAAATGTTTTGTAGAATTGCAGTTCTCAAAATTCACATGCATAGGAGGAGGAGCTTGGGTCTCTACTAAATGTCCTCCTATGAAAACTTTTGGCTAACAAATTAATGACCAGAGGCGTTGAAGAGGAAGTTGCTCTTAGGAGTAACTCTAGTAATTGTGTATGTTCCTAGCATACATAAGGATTGAACATTAAGTTGTGAAAGCACCCTGGTTGCTAGAATGCATAGCTCTCATAGAAATGTCATCTTGGTATAATGCTTGCTTATCCTTTTCCAGAAGAGAAGTTCAATGACATATCCATTTTCCCAGGCAAGAAGTGAAATAAGTACAGATTAAAGAGCAGAACATGAAAGACATCTGAACCTGTGACTTGTAATTACTGGTTATGTATAAATGTTGCCTCTCAAATATGTTTAGCATTGTAAGTATAGGAGGTAATTATAGGGCTTAAAAGCTGGTTCTGAAGAGGCTCTCAGCTATCTCATCCCGTAGCAGCAGATGACTAAAGATGCTAATTGGGTCTCTGGATACAGTGTAATACTTATTAGTGGCAGAGTTCATTTCACTGAGCTCTCTGTCTTTCAGGAAATTTCTTTGTTTCTCGTCAGAGTTTTAATGATTTATCGAGGACTTAATTTTAAACTTAGTGTCAAATGTGTAGGGTTTTTTACTGATTTTAAAATGGTACACACATGGTAGCCTGGTAGGCAGGAGTTGTAACAGCATCTTTTTGATAAATGAAAACTAACTGTCTTTTTGAGGGTAAATTGTGCAACAATGTTTGACTTCTGCATAACGGAGGACTACATATGCAGTACAAAATGGTGTGCTTCCAAGCTGCGGTATTTCTGCAGACATGCTTGCACTTGGTCTATATACAGAAGGGCTTCACTGGAGGTGGACTGAGAGGTGGCGTTAACCCTGCGTAATTGTCAGAAAATGAACTTCCCTTCAAAAAGAAGGAATGCTGGATAAAGTGAATAGATCGGAGCTTGATGACCCAGTTTCCTCAAACTTCTGAAACTTGGATCAAATAGCTTCCCCACCTGTTGTCTGAATATCGTCCATCTATGAGACCATCTTACTCCAGAGAATTTACAAACTTTGTTATTAATAGCACTTGTGCATCCTCCTAACACTGTTAAAAACTGTAATGTCTGTATGAACTCTTAATTTTTTTTTTTCCCCCCTAGGCTAAGCTTCCTGATCTGCAGCCATTTCCTTCCCCAGATGGTGACACAGTGACACAGCACGAAGAACTTGTGTGGATGCCAGGAGTCAATGACTGTGACTTACTTATGTACCTTAGGGCAGCAAGGTAATTTCAGCCAAGATACTGCCAATGTCTTTAGAATGCTGTAGTGGAAATGTGGACTGCCATGTATGTGCAGTTAGCTGTAGTCGCTCCTTTCTATTCTGTTTTGGTGTAACATGGATGTCAAACAGATAAACAAAATGTTTCGTCTGAGACAAGAATGCTCTGATTTGATGTTGCGCCAACACAGAATCTTTCCATTGGCTGTGGCTTTGGATTTCAAATGCAAAGCCAGCAGTAGGATTCCTTCAGAGACTAAATGTTTTTTGAATGAGCTCTAGTGTGCATTTCAGCTTCATACAGATCTCTGGTGTGCCCGGTAGATTAATCAGATGCGCTGATGTGCCTCATAATAATTCAGAGTATGAGTAAAATACTTGTGGTTTGCAAGAGTTCAGAGATGTGGGGAATCTGCAATTTAAGACAGTTTTCTAACATAATCTAAGATTACAACAAAAGGTTTGTTCTTTCTGGTGAGACTCTGTTCTCAGGTATGGAGGTTATATCTTCCATAATCCTGATCAGGCTTTGGTACTACTGCAGTGCAGATTTTTAATTGATGAAATCCACTTAGATTGGATTTTAATTTTGAATTAATTATTCCATATGCTGAGGTGACTCAGGTTTGCATAACAAATCACAGTGTGTGTGGTGCCTCATTTTACTTGCTTTCCACGGTATCACGAGGCCCTGAAATTTGTGATTTAGGGGGTAAATATACTATTTGTGTATTGCATGATGCGTGGATCAAACAGTAGCTGAAGAATTTAAACTTTTTTCCCCTCAAACTGTAAAGGAGCATGGCAGCTTTTGCAGGCATGTGTGATGGAGGATCCACAGAAGATGGTTGTGTTGCAGCCTCCCGCGATGACACTACACTTAACGCACTCAATACAGTAAGTATATGGAACTACTGGATGGAAGAACAGTCTTCCCATTTATTTCTGGACTACTTAAAGCACATAGCACATAAAATATTTAGCAGGTAAAATAGATTTTGGGATCACAGTATGAGTACGATAGTAGCCTAGGATATCATAACTTCCTTTCAAATAGCAACTAGTTCTGAAAAGTCTAACCTACAGAACGTCAGTGATAAACTTTTGGGTGGTGCCTTTAAGGTGATAGCTAGTGAGTGTTCTGTATGGGAAGCTGCTCAGCTCAAGTACACCAGCTGGAATTGTTACTCGGCTGGCACCTGACCTGGCTGTTGGTCCTTTCATTCAGTCCAGCTAGCATCTAGCTGTAGGAAAACAATAGTTATTTCCTAGAAGGAAAATTTGTAATGCCATCAGATGTACAGTAATGACTGTCTGGAATTTGTCCCACTTGTGATCCAGTCTGTCATTTATATTTGGATGCATATATGTCCAGTTATCTCTTGCATAAACTTAATGTGCGTAAAGAAAGCATTATTGAGTAGTTACATAATGTGAGTGTATGTTGAGATGCTCATGCAGTTTCAGTGCAGCCACAATTAACTGTTTCGGGGAGGGTGCGGGGCACTAACATCAGTAAATCATGATACAAGAAATAGTATTTTAAGATCAAGCTGAAGAAACTTGTCTGTCATTCCATATTTTTTGGTAACAGTGAAATCTACAGTTGTTTGTTTCCCCAGAGCCCTATCTGCAGCTTTTGGAGACTCGTGGTGCTAGTGACTCTGAGCTGACTTTTGTGGTGTCTTCACTGTTTCCTTCCTAAAATATAATAAAAGGAATTACGTGTAACTGGTCATATGTTACTCTGAAGAAACATAGACAGATCTGCTGACTACCAACAAACAATTTTCATTCTTCCTCTTTTTATGTCACCTTTTATCCCTAAAACATATCTTGGAGGTATGAACAGTTGACTTCTGTCCTGTCATTTTCATGGTTATTGGCTATGTTCTAATCACACGCACTTGTGAAAGCTGTGGAAAGGATAGGATGTACCCTTTGCTGAATGAGTTTCTAGTTAAACCTGTAAAATGTTTTGGGGGCAATCACAGTAGAAATGTACAGACCCCATGTAGAGCTGGTAGGACTGGAAGCTGGGAGAGCTTCAGTTGAGCGTGTTCTGTGAAACTGCCAAGGGAGGATGCAGTGTGTAGCTCCAGATTTAATTTTTAAAGATCTCCTTTCCTAAAAGTAGTTTTAAGTGTATTCTGCCTCAGTGTCCAGCACTGTAACTATGTACAGCGACTCATATGTTACTTTGTTCACAATGCCTGAGGCTCAAGTAATTTGTTTTCATTCAGTAAAACTAGTGATACCAACAAAAAACTTAACTATGTTGTACTCCTGCAAATTGGCTAATGTTAAATACCACCTAATGACCCCAATATTATGTCTGGCTCTGCTTGCTATGCTTTAGTTATTTACAGTTGCATAGTTTCTAACCATTTATTTATAAAATTCTTAAGAGCTTGTGGATGGTTGTGATACACATCAGAAACTGAGTGATAATCACTGCAACAGAGAACAGATGATCTGTTTGTTTGGAGGAAGTATCCTAAGCATGTTCTTGTTTGGTTGTTCTGTTAAAGTGAGTGGAACTGACATTATCAAATTAATCACATTAAATATGCTTAACTGATTCTTTACTGTCAGTAAAGCATCTCATAGAATGAGAGAATCGTTTAGGTTGGAAAAGACCTTTAAGATCATCAAGTCCAACCATTCCATGAAGCTTTAAAAAGAGCGTTCAAAAGAAGCTCAATCTGTATGAGTTGTAGAACTGGTTTGTAGGTATGTATAACTTGATATCTACGCTAAAGTTGAAATGCCTGTATTTTTAACATGAAAAATGTTACTTATGTAACGTTAGCTTACCAAAACCACTCATACTGTTTTTTTTTATTTCCGCTTCTGTTTGATTCTTCACGTGTTTCATAGAGTGTGTCAGTTTTTGTCTTTTTTCCTGCAAGACGGGAGTAAAATAGCATTAAGATCTATAATGAGCCCCTGTAATACTTACTTAATAAACAGCAACAGAACTTTCATTCTTCCTCTGCAAAATTGTTTAAACATAGTCTATACACTTGCACGTGTAACCAGCTGAAATCCAAGATCAAATTCTGTACACATTAAATGCTTCCTTGCTCTCACTTTCACATCTGCAAAGTCAAGCGTTAGTGCTTCAAGCGCACCTCAGAACTGAGGTGAATGTATAAATCTTAGTCCTTTGGTTCCTTTGCTAAAGATAGCCAGTGTGTTAAAGACTTTTATACCATTTGATAAGAATTGCAGTTAAGTCCGTATTGCACATCCCTTTCAGTTTCTTACCTGGCTTACATTTTATTTCCTTCCCTTCTCTTGGGATGGGTGCCATCTGGTTCTGGTGCCTTACCACGCTAGAGTTTTCTAAGTTGTTCCCTAACATCCTTCTTAGACTCAAATCTCTGTTAAGGCCAATAATCATCAAAGAGCTTTTGGAATTGGAATTTCTTTCCCCTTGTCATCTATAATAAAGGACTAATGCAGAAAATTCATGTAACTTCACTGCTTTGCTATCTACTTTAATTACCCGCTTTAATCACTTGGGAGTCTAAGGAGCCTGTAGTTGCACTTGTAGACTTCTTGCTTCTGAGATTTAGATTAGTCCCAAATGATTTTGTTTCTGTTCTTCTGATTCTTTTCTTTGTATTTCTAGTGCACATCTATTTTAGAAAATCACTGCTGTCTTTTTCTGAATGGGGGAGGGTTTCACACGTCTGAAATAAAAGGACTATACAAACTCTTAATTTATCCCCTTAAGAATCTTGTCTGTGTGTAATATTTTTGACTGTTGTTGTCATGACTTCCCCTTTCCCCCAATGTGACATCTTAATGTATAGCAGTAAGGCTTACCTTGTGGTGTTCTTGTAAGCATCTCGTTAACTTTCGCTTTGCTGAAGTTTCTCTTTTGTAGGTATTGTGGTGCAAGTCCTCCGTTCCTCTCTAGGCTAGTTTTCAACCCGAAACAGTCTGCCTGAACATGGACTGTTGTACTTCCATGAAATACAATCTGCAAGGTTTGACCTTAATGACTCTCGAAAGGTCCTTAGGCTTCTGTGGGGTTGGATTTATTCATGCTTCAGGAATCTTTTCTGTGTACTAATAGTGTTCATCGCAATTTTTGGAAACCAGTGAAAATACTTTCCTTGTTGACTTTGAATTTTTCCAAAAAGTCTTTTCTTATGAATGATAGTTCTGTCAGCTGGGATATTTTAAGAAACTTTGACTTATTTCTGAGAGCCTCCTTGTTTTGACTAACTTAAAATGGGTTTGATAGGTAGTTTGTTGTCCTGGCAAAACGGTGCCCTTTTTATCTTTCTGTTCACCATCTATTTAAAACATACCAGATTTATCTGATAAATAATTGGTGAGAATCTTACCCTACGCTAAGTTGTGTTTTTGTTTAGAAATTATCATATGCAACCCAGAAGATTAATGTAAAAAAAATTGATATGGTATGATTTCTTATTATGGAAATCCAATAAACTTCAGAGCAGCACTTCATATAAATCAGTCTTGACAAGCTCCTTTGCTAGTGTTTTATTTAGGTAATAACAGATGCTGTAGCCCCCAGAATGATTTATTGTTAATTATACCAGATAGAAATGAAGATCATGGAAGGCACAATGCAACATATGTATCAGCTCATTGAAACAATTATTCACTTAATGGGCCAGGTAAATTCCAACTTCTGTTCATTTGGCTATTGGGATTTGATGCCACGTTTGTCATTGTAACCCTTGGAAGGAAATAAAGTTTTCATTTGGAGTTCGTTGCCCTCCTGATGAGTGTTGGCTGTCGTACTGAGCGGTATGGAGGAGGACATATTAGTTCCTGAAGGTCTTTCACCATGATGTTTTTGGAGAGAGGGGGGCTTTTTTGTTACACTACCATAGAACAGGTAGCTGAATTTGGCTGGCTTTCTAAAACTAGCTGGTTTTTCTGCTTTGTTTAAATATTCATGAACAAAGGCCATTTGATGCATTAGACCTTAAAATATTAGTCGTGTGAAACAAAAACACGTATGTTCAGTACACTTTTATTTTTCCAGTTTTATAATTGAACCGTAATGCATGAAGCCATTTTTATTGGTAAAATCGTAGGTGATGGAAACATTTTAATTTTTATAGCTACCCAGTTCCTCCTGTCTTGTGATCTGGAGGACCACATTGCTTCGACGCGGAACTCTTGCTAATAAGTGAAAAGGGAAATGGAAATGCTGATTTGAGTTACTCCCAGACCTTGTTTTGGGTCACTGTGGACAACAATATTGCATTCTGAGAGCCAGTATGGTTGATGTGAAAGTTATAGAATTAATACTTGGTAGTAATGCACTTTGCCTTTTTAGCGCTTTTGGGCTTTGAGTGTGGATAGGGATCACTTTTTAATAATCAGAATACTGTCACGAAGTCCCTCAAAACACTGTATTTACAAGATACCTGTGGAGATCCTTAGTAAGAAAATCCTGCAGGAGAGCCAGGACTTAATCAGCCAGTTCATTGGTTTTTTTTGTTGTTGTTGTCTGTTCCAGCCTAATTGAAATTTGGAAATCAATCGAAAACCTTAGAATTCATTCCCTTTCCAAGTCAGGCTAGTTTAATTAACTGCCTTATTTTTGCTTAGCATTCTTTACTTGCAAGTGCATTGGCTGTTCTAGTGACATGTTCAGTGTGGGAAAGCATCTGACACAGTTTTGTTCGCTTGTGTAGAAGGAAGAAAAAGTCCCGTGGAAGTTTTTTGTGTTTTGGTGGTTTGTTTGTTTGTTTTTTTTTTAAATGGCCAATTGTGGTGCCAATATGTTTTACTTGTGGATAAGTTTCTTCTGTAACACGTGCAATTGGTGGGTAACCTGGGCCATCTGCAATACTTAAACGGAGCACGGGGATAAGGAGTTTCAGTTTTCAAATGAAAACAAA